AGCCTCTCTCTCTCTCTGTTTACATTAGGACAAGATGAGGGCGATTACTGGCCGCTGGGGGCATTAATACGGCTTGGACCAGGGATTTAGGGCACATCGAACTAGTCTTGACACACACACACACACACTCACGCACACACACACACACGCACGCACACGCACGCACACACACGCACACGCACACGCACACACACGCATCGCACGCACACATGCACACACACACACACACACACATAGATTTAAGGTCGAGTCTGTGTTTGAGCTTTTGGAAATTGTTTTGTGTATGTATGTATGTATGTATGTATGTATGTATGTATGTATGTCGGAAGGAAAGCTTGTAAGGGGGGAGGGAGGGGAGGGAGGGGAGGAGGGGGTCCGCTAAGTATCTATATCCTCGAACAGTTCTCAAAATAGCAGCCAAGACCAACACAGGTGACATAACCCAACACAACCACAAGATCGAATAGTAATTTCCTCACAACGGAGATACGATTCAAGGAACAAGTGAGGTGTAGCACTGTTATCACCCGAGGTCTTAAGGTGGGAGGGAGGGGGGCATTGTTCCATTGAATAGAATTTCTTGCCATTGGAGGGAAGTGGAATTCTCAGAGACTAAAGTTCGACTTGTTTTGTGATTTAATGAAGGGGTGGAGGGGGTGGAGGGTGGGGGGGGAATGGTGGAGGGTATGAGTGGTGGAGGGGGTGAGTGGTGGAGGGTGGTGAGTGGAGGTGGGGGTAGTGGTGGTAGTGGTAGAAAGTAGTGATGGAGGGAAGTAGTGATGGTAATCGAGGGAAGTGGCGTCTTTATTTAATTTCAACGCTTTATTATTGTGTATGGTTATCATGTCGTAGATGTGATTAAATTAAGAAAAAAAATTAGCGTTAAAAAAAATCATTTCTTGACAAATCCAGATTCAGGACAGGTCAGTGGTGACGTCACGTGTCAACTCAGCTGGGTTTGTTTACATGAGGAAGAACAACAATGGCCGTCAGTCTCCCTCCTCCTTCTCCTCCTCTTGGCGTTTTTATGCGAATTTCTCTCCTCCCCCTCTCCTTCCCCCTCTCCTTCCCCCCTCCCTTCCCCCCCTCCCCCTCACACAGTCTTTGTTAAACTTTACAAGACTTGGCAGTATTTGAGACATCTTTTCACCATTTCGTACAGTGATGTGACATTTTTTATTATTATAGAAAACGGTGAAGTAGAGTATATTTTCAGGGGTTACTCTGGTGTTATGGAATAATATAAATTTGGGGTGAAAATCGAATTTGTGAATTAATTTGTTGGTTTTTATTTGTTTAATTGTTTGGGGCACCTGAAGAATAGCCGCCCCCCAGCTTAGTTCACCTGAGGCTTAAACACCCTAATGCTACAACTCCCACTTTCGTAACTACCCCCAACCATCCACCCCCTCCTTCCACCCTCTTAACTCCACAACCCTTCTTCATCCACCCTCACCAACCCCCAACTCCCCCCTCCCCCCAACCCCCCTCCCTCCTCCCCTCTCAACCAAACGCCGTCTTCACAAAATCCAGAAAAAAGTGAAAATAGGAGAAGAATTTGATGAATAAAGATGGCGAATAAGAAGGAAGAGAGAGAGAGAGAGTGGGTTGAGAAAGAGGCACATGGAGAGAGAGAAAAGAGATACAAGAGAGACATACAGTGAGCGAGAGAGAGAGAGAGTGTGTGACTATCAGTAATTATGGCAATTTCAGAGATGCCATCGTGCCTGGCTGAAGTGTTGCCAGATAATTGATTTATCAATCACCCCTCTCACCCCCACCCCACCCCTACACCCCACACCCCCTACACCCTCTACACCCCCACACCCTCTACACCCCCACACCCCCTCCCACACCCCCACACCCTACACCCCCACACTCCCCACACCCCACACCCCCACCCCCCCCCCCACCCTCTACACCCCCCACCACACCCCCACACCCCCACCCACACCTCTACACCCCCACACCTCTACACCCCCACACCCTCCACCCCCACCCCCACACCCTCCACCCCCACCCCACACCCTCTACACCCCCACACCTCTACACCCCACACCTCTACCCCCACACCTCTACACCCACCCCACCCCCCTCACTCACACCACTTGTTGTTTTTAGCTGAAGCACAACAGATAACGGGACTTACTGTTTGGACTATTGCTTAATGGACAACAGATGTAGGAGGTCACTTTACGCGTTATGAGAGAGAGAGAGAGTACGTCCTGTGATGGACTGATGGTGGTGGTGGTGGTGGTGGTGGTGGTGATGGTGATGGTGGTGGTGATGGTGAACGACTCTTGACGTGGTCGTTACCTCGGGTAGGAACAGATGGCAGCAATACATGGGTTAGTTCCTTCCAATATACAACTGTGCTGGGGGAGGGCCTGTGTAATAAAGGGTCTCTCTCTCTCTCTCTCTCTCTCTCTCTCTCTCTCTCTCTCTCTCAAAGACCTTAGAGAAGCGTCAGTTAGGCTCAATGAAGAATTGACGCCATCTTTGTTTCCTTTGGTTTAAGCCAGCGAATAGGATGCGTTCTCTTATCTCCCAGTGTGGAATAAATCAACCAATGAGAATCCATCTCTTAAATCATAGGTTAAGTCAGCCAATCAGAAGCGTTCTCGTACCTCTAAGTAGGGAAAATTTTTACCTTATCAACCAATAAGAATCTACTGTAAATTATCAGAATAAAAACATTAAAAAACACAAAATACAAAAAATCTGAATAAATAAATGTTAATTAAAAAGATTCAATAATTTTCAGTATATAAAAAATAAAAGAATAGATATTTAAATAATCAAAATCACCTTTATCGTTATGGTCCCTTGATTAAAAGTTTATATTCAACATCTCGGTCAATAAACTAATGTTCACCTGGATATTAATTAGCCTTTCTTCCAAGCTTATAATCACCTGTTAATTAAAAACCCCTAACGCTACCTGAGGGGGTTAGATTAGATAAGACAACATTGATATATTAATTATTCTCAAAAAGCATAAATAAATACAATAATAAAATATAATAATCCTCGTACACATTTTTTTATTATACTAACAAGCTTAAACAAATGAATGGATAAATAAATAAAACCTTGGAGGGATGACATTGTGGGCTGGCCTCGACACATTGCTCAATAATTACATTTACATAATAATTCCAATTAAACGGCGGTAAATTGGAACGGTTTATTTGGCGGCCAAATTGGTGTTTTGATGATAATTTTCTACTTAATTGTTTGTGTCGTAATGTTGGGGATCATGTGAAGATTAGACACCCCCTTAGTTTATTTCACCTCTCCCTCACATATTGTGTTTTGATCCTTCCCTTACCTTCTCACCCTCTCCCTTACCTTCTCACCCTCTCACCCCTCCTTCACCCTCTCCCACACACCCCTCCTTAACCCTCTCACCCCTCCCGGAAAATAAATATATAATTTTTTTGTTCATGCATTTAATCATAATTTTTTTTAAGTCTTCCATGTTCGTGTGAAGAAGAAAACGGGTGTCGTCGCGTTAAAGAAAAAGAAAAATTTTGGAGGGTAAACTTTAGTAAATTTATTGAAAAGGGTTTAATAACACACACGACCAAATCCCTTAGTAAAGAACTTTATTTTAGGCTCAGTAAAGTTAGAGTTAAATACTTATATGTACCAGAAAGGAGAGTAATCTTTGGTGACCTGCAACCTGAGTCAACATTCTGACACTCATAAACCTTTTGTAGACGGTTAGGTTAGGTTAGGTTTTGGTTAGACTTTCTTAGGTTAGGTTAACTTTAAGGTATTTAATTATCCCATCAAATCAGGTGGGAAACAGGTGAGACTCTCAGAACGTGTGGCTCAGGTATACAGGTAATACGACAATGAAGCCTTGACAGGTAACTTGTGACTCGCTCTCTCATACCTGTGTGTGTGTGTGTGTGTGTGTGTGTGTGTGTGTGTGTGTGTGTGTGTGTGTGTGTGTGTGTGTGTGTGTGTGTGTACGTAGGTGGTTCTAGGTGGTTAATTGTATGTACGTACGTGTTATATGTATGTATGTATGTATGTATGTATACACTTGCTATATAACCTACCAATAATATATACACGTGAAGCAATACTCTTACATGATATATTAGAAGAACTGTCTGCTTGTATGTCGCCCACTACAAAAAACCGACACCATACACTTTCACCACCCACCACGAGGCTTGAGTTCCTGTATCAATATCCACACTGACGACGAACACACGGCAGCTGATGATGTTAATGAGTGACCGAGGGGAGGGTGTATCTAGGTGTAGCGTCTGAGGAGAGGGTGTACCTAGGTGTAGCGTCCCGGGTGTTGAGGTGAATTCTGACCCCCCCAAATCCAGGACTCACAACACTGTACCACCACCACCACCATTACTACTACCACCACCACCGCATATTGTTTAAAAGTCTTGTGACACACTTCCTGCCACACACCCACACACACACACCCACACACCCACACACACACACACACACACCCACACCTCGTTTCTGTGTCTTCATCGTCATCAACAGTGGGCACTCTGTCCTGCCTCAGGGGTTTACTTGGTCTCATATTTGGAGGGAATGTGTGTAGCTTTTCTGTATAGTTTTGGTGATGATATATTTCGTTATACTTCTTTTAGGATATTTTTTATTTATTTTTTCATAATAGATTAGAGAAAGTTTGTTTTTTGTTCATAAGATACGGAATTTCTTTGTTTGTTTTGGTTAGGATTTTTTTTCACTTTTTTTTTTTTAGTATCGTGAAGTTAAATATGTATACGTTTATTGTTCAGGAAATTAGTACTGTTTAACTTTCTTGCACGAAGATTTGATATTTAATTTAGTGTTCTTTGAGATGAATCCGGGTTGAGGAACTCTAAAAATAACGCCATTTTTGTTGGTTGTTGTGGGTTGGTTCCTGGGCACGTGTTGTATGTGGTGGCCGCTAGAGGAGATGGGATGGTCGTCACGGTCTTACTATTGACTTGGTGGTGAGTGTGAGGCTACGGACAGGACTGTGGCGAGTGTGGTCGGTGGGTGGTGGAGGCGGTGGTAGAGGGTGATACAGTGGTGCTCCGGCCAGCCTCTAGGGTAGCGCCCACCACACTCTTGCCGGTGATGTCACTGAGGTGGTCTCTGGCGCCCTCCCACAGACAGACAGGGGGGCGGGGCAGGGCGGCCAGGCAGGGGCGGGGTAGTGGAGGGGCTGTGCTAACTAGGGTGGAGCGTGGGTCGTGGGTGGCCAGGGTGGAGCGTGGGTCGTGGGTGGCCAGGGCGGAGCGTGGGTCGTGGCTAGCCAGGAGGGGCTGTGCAGCGGGAGGAAGGGAGTGCAGCAGGAGGGTGGGGTAAGGCCTAACGGGCAGCTGCGGAGGGTGGACGTGGCCCCCAGAAAGGCCAGGATGAGTCAGGAAGGAGCCCAGACTGAGGTGGGCCGGTACGAAAGAAGACACAGTGTGGGTGGCGCTGGAGAGGTGAGAGGCGAGGTGGGTGGGCGGCGCCAGTGGGTGAAGGAGGGGCGGCCCTGGGTGGGTGGCGTGCAGGAGAGTGGCAGCCAGGGCAGAGTCCCAGTAGGGCCAGGCCAGGGCCAGACGCTGCCTCTTGTCCTTCATCCTGCGGTTCTGGAACCACACCTGGAATAACCATCATGATGTATTGTTGACCTGATAATACGTTAACGAGGTGACATAAGACTAAGTGTTACCTTTGTTTAGATCAGCACACACACACACACACACACACACACACTGTATACTGAATCTTTGTTGTTATAATGCTCTTGCCTTTAACTTACTGTAGATTCAACACCGTTTTGGTCGTATATAAGAAGGGTGTTGTTCAGAGTGACCCGCCGAGTATTGTAAGTGTTCTCCGCCAGTCATTTCGGTTCCTTCCTGCACCTAACAATTGAGCCATGAAGTGTGACCAACGCTAGACATCCATGGAGACCAGTTAGTTATTAGTAATAGAGTTACCTACTATAAATATATATATAAATATGCGCTGCTTGTGTAACTGGCATGGGGGGGAAGATAAAATACTTTAGTTAGTCTAAGAAATATTAATGAGAGAAAACGTGAGCTGAAGGGATACACTGGAGGGCTAACTATAGTATATACCGTGTACCTTAACCTGACTCCCTGTGTTGTTATAAACTTTTCTTCAACACTCATAATACTTTAGCAGCTGACGCAATATATACATAAATAATAAATGGTTCTATTAATAATATAGTAAATCATCATCTGGTTTACTTCCAAATGAACCAAATAATTTAACATTGGAGCAACGCAAACCACAAAACCGTACATTGCATCTGTCGTTCTGTGATTCCGAATGTATATAGTTACACCCATAGTAATACGAAGACACTAAATTATATATAAAACTGTACATAAACGAAGCAAAGAAGTTGTTACGTCACTTATGAATACATTATTGTTACGATTAAATCAGATTGGGTTAGTTTGGATAATTTTTTACGATTACATTAGGTTTAGGTTAGTTAGATTTAATTACATACATGAAATTATACTTGATATTTTTGTTTCATAATTACTTTTATATATTTTGATCTGAAGAAAGTTAAAAGTTGATAGTATTAATATTGTTAGGTTAGGTTAGGTTAGGTTAGGTTAGGTTAGGTTAGGTTAGGTTAATAGTGTCCACGGGGAGATTAAGTGTTATGTGGGTAAGTGGATAGTGAGAATGACCTTGTTTACAATAGTACCTTTATAGTAGCCTCGGGTAGGTTGAGCTCGGCAGCCAGTTCACAGCGTCTGGGTCGACTCACGTAATTCTCCCTCAAAAACTCTCGCTCCAGCCTCGTCACCTGTTCCCTCGTGAAGGCTGTCCTGTACCTGCCGGGCACCGTCACAAGTCATCGTCACCAGCAGTAGTAAACATCACGTATTTAAGCGATCACATGAGTACCACACAATGATACACCTGATTCATTATCCTTTTTTTTATAGGTTTTTGAAGTTTAAGAATTTAAGTTACAGTTCTTACCTGCGTATACCCGAATCTTGCGTACCATCAGCGGCGGAGGAGGCAGGTGAGGCCAAATGATGAACGCCACCGCCGCCGCTCACGTATTTGTCTGGCGAACTAATTGACCTGAATCCTTCGCTCAGGTGTAGGGGGCTCACTGGTCCCTGTTGACGAGGGGGTTCCGACGACAGGCAGTGGGAGACGTATGAAGACTGAGTGAGGAGCTGCTCTTCCCTGGCTGACGTGGGTGACTGTCTCAGATCAGGACGTGTTGGGGTCGTGGCTTGGTGTTGTGTTGGGGTTGGGGTCGTACTTTGGTGTTGTGTTGGTGTCGTGGCTTTATGTGTTGGTGTTGGGGTCGGGGTCGTGGCTTGGTGACGTGTCAGTGTAGGGGTCGTAGCTTGATGGTGTATTGATGTAGGGGTCGTGGCTTGGTGGCGTGTTAGCGTAGGGGTCGTACTTTGGTGTTGTGTTGGTGTTGGGGTCAGAGTTTGTTGATGTGTTGGTGTAGGTGTTGTAGTTTGGTGACGTGTTAATGTAGAAGTCGTTGCTTGGTGTTGTGTTGGGGTCGTAACTTGGTGTGTTAGTGTAGGGGTCGTGGCTTGATGACGTGTCAGTGTAGGGGTCGTGGTTTGGTGTTGTGTTGGTGTGGACGTCATCGTGGTTTGGTAATGTGAATTTCTGGTCAGTTCGCCTTGAGGGGAATGTGACACCGCTGATAAGGACGGTGAAACTCGCTTGTGGGTGACCGAATTCCTGTCGAAGCGTAGTGGAATGTATGGGTGTGAATGGTGAGGGAAATGTAAGTGTTGTGAGGTGGTGTCTGAGGATGATGGCAACACCTCCTCCTCCTCCTCTTCCTCACACTCATCGTCACTCGTCAGGGGTATTCGTCCACTCTGAGACTGAATCTTGTCCTCAACATTGTGAAAATGGAGTTTGGGTGGAGTGTGGAGGGTGGAAGGTTCGGCTGGGGAGACGGAGGGAGTGTGTGGTGGGGTGACAGGCATGGTCGTCGATCCCTCGGTGCCGCCACTTGATCCACGACCCAGCGAAGACGACCCCTCACCACCACCACGGGTCAACAGTCGTACCAGTGAGACGTTCTTCTTGCACTGTTCCATCACCTCACACCTCGTGCTAAGACTTGTGACCTAAAATATAATAATATCCGGCAAGAAACACCTGCCGGAGCACCGTCAGAGCAGAGCACCTTCAGGAGTGACCCCCACCAAAGACCCCTTGTCAGTATTTCCTTCCCTGTTCCCGCATACCTGCACTGTCTGTATGCCTCCATAGTTTATATATACATGGCAAACCAATTATAAAACTGTATGATATTTTTACTGAATTATTATTATTATTGTTATTATTACGCTTATCTCAGATTAAATGTGAGTTGTTCCTACATATTGTTAATTGATCGGTTTCTTCATATACAGTATATACAAAAATATTAAAAACAAGAGTTCATGCTTAAATTTTCTAAAACCTGGTCCAATAAGATAATTGTTAATGCATTTTGTATATATTTTATAATAATTGTCATTTTCTTATTGAAGCATGTATAACGTGTACAACTCGCAGCCAATAGTATCGTTACAATTTTCTGAGACAATATGACACAACGGACGAAGGATTTTGACAACCCTACCGAGACAACAGGAGTCAGTGTTCATTATGAAATTAATATTTTTTTAGAACGAGATATATCAAGTTATTTTAACACACGAATGACAATAATGGCAACACTTCTCACGTGACTTATATTATGAGCTAAAACAATATTAAAACGTTCTGTAAATATTTTGTGGTTATCAGTATTTTATTTTTAATTCATGATTAATATTAAATGGCAAGTGTAACTTTGCAACACACAAGACTAATGTTAATATAATTTCAGTTACCTTGAGGTGAGTTGTGTTGTGTGTTGCTTCAATACCTCAGTACAGCAGCTGGTGATGGTGAACGTAACGCCTTCATTCTGTACTAACATCTTGCTTAATACTTGTACTTCCTTCACTTACTACCACCACCACTCTGAAACAGGAATATTATAAGGTGTTTACTCTTTACTGTTTCTTGACCAATTAAAACATTATTTTTATTATTATTATTATTTTTATTATTATTATTTGTAGTAGTCATAATAATAGTACTAGTAATAGCAGTAGTAATAATAGTAAAAGTAATTCATTATTATTATTATTATTATTATTATTATTATTATTATTTGTAGTAATAGTAGTAGTAACTAGTAATAATAATAGTAGTAGTAGTAGTTTATTATTATTATTATTATTTTTATTATTATTATTATTATTATTATTATTATTATTGTAAGGGTAAAACACATTAATGAAGAACCGTATTGGTTGTCACCCACACAGAGTCGTATCTTGTTCACTACAGTATACAGTACAGTACTGACTACACCAAAACCTCGGGTGTTAAAACAGCCATACATTATAACATCAAGACTGAAACGAGGTATATTATCACAATGAAAGATAAAATAACTAAGAATAAAGTTATACAAGAATCATTACTCTAGAAATAATAAAGAACGTCTATTTAGAATATTTTTCATCAATTTCTAACTCTGTTTTCGATACATCCACAGGAATTCAGTTGGCCAGACGAACGCTTATGTGACGGTAACAGGTGTGAAAAGTGAACAACACTGGGACATTGTTCAGGTCGTAATGCAATCAACAGGCCTCTGATGGTTATGTCCAGTACTTGTCAACAGTGTGGAACAGAGAACTAACCGACCGCCTAACCTGCTAGTGAGAGACGAGAAACAACAGTCACACTAGGCTAAGCGGTACAGGTATGAAGCGGTTCAGGTATGTTGCGACTGTATTGAATGTGAGTAACCTAATGGATCTTTCTCTCTCAAATAGCCATAGGAGTTATAGAGGATAATTATATATACATGAAGATCAACTGCTTAATATAGTGGTCAGTTATCTCAGTTTCATGTGGATGTTTATCGTTTATTATTATTATTATTATTATTATTATTATTATTATTAACTCTAGAAATTAGTGCTTATGAATTTAAATGAACTTTGTCATTTAAAACATCCTTCCCAATTTTAGCAGAACGAAGGTGATGTTATACGTTAGGTTAGATTAGGTTAGACTAATTTTCTTCACAAATTTGAATTAGTGTACTTACAAGTGTACACATTAGTTAGTCTTTGAAATAGATCAGAAATATGTTGAAATTATCGCTAACACGGGTGAGAGTTGAAAATTATTATTACAGTATATGAATTATTGGAGCCTTTTTGTAAACAATGGCGGTACAACTGAGATATTAAAAACCTTATTTGTGATCATAAATTCTCATAACCTCGCGGTATTTATCATTAAGAGCAACTTCACCTGCTTATTTAAATTATATCTTAATAATGAATAAAGTTTTAATTAGGATCTTAATATTTCTCCAATTATACTTTTAGCATTTCTTTAGTGAAGTCTAGACGGGCGTATAAAAATTACTAGAACGAAGTCAAAATTAAAACCATTTAAAACACGCAAGATGATAGTGTTAGATTTATATAATATTACTTATGGCGCTTTTATGTAGTAACGTTGTCGGTTATTCAGAATAGATTATTAAAGACTGTAGAATGGCACTACAGCACACTACCGCTTGTCACTTCCTCATCTGCAAGTTTAGGTGACCTTTCTGTTATAGCTTGGGGCGAATGACGGGTTAAAACAGCAGAGTTATTCCACTTCTTAAAAACGGATAATATTAATTTATTTGTTTTAATTATTGATAACTCAGTGTATAAATCAATATTAATTACATCTTCAACGACATATTTTGTTGAAGTGCAATAATATACGGTATAATATCAACAGAAGTACAGTAATATATACGTTATAATATCAACACAACGCTCTAAAATATCCTGTATATAAACACTGTTATTAATAAACCTTTTTTATGATCGATACTACAAAATAATAAATAATAAAAAGAACATGGTAAGCTTAGCTACTTAACAACAACAGATGGTTTATAGTTGCGTCAGTAGCTATGTGAATGCCAATCCTAACTGCCTCACCGAAAGATTAATTTTTTTTCGAAACACCATTTGTTAACAGTAAAGAAGACTTATTGATTGAACCATTTTATGTTTATTTAATATTTAATTTTATTAGGTGTCTGTTCAACTTATGTATGTATGTGAATTTATACCTAATTACATCGACCCTACAGTAAGTCAGTAATAAAAATGAATAAACAAAAGATATATAAACATAATTAAAAATACCACTAACTATAAACTAAATACGCAAATAAAATACAAAAAATATTACTAAAACAACATCTTATAAACTGAATGATGTTCGCACTTTGAAAAATATTAAATTATGTTACGTACATATCGTCAAGCTTTCATCGCCATAGAGCTCTTCGCCAGAGATAATCGCCACAGAGCTCTTTGCCAGAGATAATCGCCACATAGAGCTCTTCGCCAGAGATAATCGCTACATAGAGCTATTCGCCAGAGATAATCACTACATAGAGCTCTTCGCCAGACATAATCGCTACATAGAGCTCGCCACATAGAGCTATTCGCCACATAGAGCTCTTCGCCAGAGATAATCGCTACATAGAGCTATTCGCCAGAGATAATCGCCACATAGAGCTCTTCGCCAGAGATAATCGCTACATAGAGGTATTCGCCAGAGATAATCACTACATAGAGCTATTCGCTCACAGATAATCGCTACATAGCTATTCGCCAGATAATCATACGTGAGCTCTTCAGAGATAATCACTACATAGAGCTCTTCGCCAGACATAATCGCTACATAGAGCTATTCGGCTGGGAGCTCTTCAGAGATAATCGCCACATAGAGCTCTTCGCCAGAGATAATCGCTACATAGAGCTATTCGCCAGAGATAATCACTACATAGAGCTCTTCGCCAGACATAATCGCTACATAGAGCTATTCGCCACATAGAGCTATTCGCCACATAGAGCTCTTCGCCAGAGATAATCGCTACATAGAGCTATTCGCCAGAGATAATCGCCACATAGAGCTCTTCGCCAGAGATAATCGCTACATAGAGGTATTCGCCAGAGATAATCACTACATAGAGCTATTCGCTTCACAGATAATCGCCACTCTATACTGGCGAGTGAATAAAGCGGTCCCGTAATTATTATTGTTAGTTTTGTTAAGATTTTTCTATTATTTATTGTATTATAGATTTTAATAGTGGTTATTATTGTATAGATATTTTTATTGTGTTACGGATGTATAGTAAGTGGTGACAATATTAGTTTTTAGTATATTTAGTATTAGGTTGTGGTTTATATACGCTTTTACAGATCAAGTCTCTTCTCTTTTCACCACAGATAGAGTATTACCGTATACGCTAAGGTTCTGTCACTTATAGAAAAATGTATGAAGGGAAATCCATGGGAATATTATATTTTATTCTCATACATAAATAAATCATAACTATTGAATACTATAAATCTATTGATAATGCTGGATTTTAAATAATTACAATAATATTTAGATTTTATTTTTGTTAATGCCTTGGTCTTGAAATCCCCTCTACTGACCTATGAGACGATTATTAACATGTAACTGACCAATTTAGTAGTTAGTAAATACATTCCTAACCACGTCAACCAAGGCACCACCCCTCTGATCCTGTAACCACGTTAATATTACTCTACCTGTATCTTGAAGTGTTATGTCTAATTACAGTCTCTGAATGTTTGTTACCTGATGGTGTTATTTATGCGTTATTTAGCCGCCTTCCTCACCTCTCAGTAATTTAATAGATATTTTTTTAAATATATTTCCCACGGATTGATCTGTTGGTTCTTGTGACTGAGACCTGGCCCCCATGTTGTCTAGACGGGAACAGCAGCTCAGACGTGTGGCCATGGGAGTCTAATCGTGCACTATATCACACCTAATTTACATATAGGGTTCACCTGGTGATATATGAATCACCTGTAAT